ATATCTCCAGTAAAAAGATGCTCCAACTGCCTCAGATTTGGTCATTCAAAAGCCCAATGCAATAACTCAAAAATATGTTCCCATTGTGCGAATGTTGCACATGAAGACAACTCCCCTTGTCCATTCTTAAACAAACCTGCGAGGTGCATTAATTGCAAAAATAACCATGAATCTACTGATGACAATTGTCCTGAACTCTTGAGACAAAAATCCATTCATGAACACGCAGCAATCAATGGTATTACCTATCTTGAAGCAAGAGATATACTCAAGGGAACGATGAATTTCGCGCAAGCAGCGGCTCCCTCTCCACCTCCCATTGACATAATCCACTATCCTCCAATGTCTAAACCAAGATCCTCCCACAATCAGAATCGCCGAACGCAACCCCGTCGTCAAGGAAATGATAATGCGTCAAATTACCTCAACATCTCATCTCATTCAGAATCATCACAAGAAGAATTTTCAGAGCAACCTGGCTCCATTTCCCACTCACATAATAACCTATCCAATCCTAATTACCAAATCACCGATCGTCGTCGAATCCACTCCGTTCGCCAATAGAATTACCCAAAAGATGAACAATCTTTATTTAAAGAATCATCAGCCCGACCTCAAGAAGTATTCAATGAATCTGTGATTATGAAGAGAAAATCTTATCATTCTAAAGCAAATTTAACTGAGAATCAATCTCCCTGTAACCAAGATTCCCTACAATCCTCTCGTCCATTCCAACCCTGTTAAGGATGTGAAGAATTTAAGGTTATGATGTCTCAAATGACACAATTCTTTCAATTAATGGTGGAAAATTTATCCCCCCTTCTTGCAGCAGTAGGAATCAGCAGAGACTTCTCACAACTCAGTGGTAGTGTCATGCAATTCAATCGTGCCATTGGAGCCCCTGATGAAAATAACTCGAGTTTACCTCCTCCTTCTATAATCAACAGTAACATTGCAAAAAAACAAAATCCACTCTCCCAAGAGATTTTTAATCCCCCTCTTACTAATAACAATCTCGATAATAATGAACCAGCTCAACATTAATCAAGGTAATCCCTTTCGTATTTTACAATGGAATTCCCAAAGCATGAAGAAGAAAATGGGAGATTTACAAAAAATTTCAAATAACTATGATATCATTTTGATTACTGAAACATTTTTGAAACCTGAGATTCCATTCAAATTTCCTGGATTCATTCTATATCGCAAGGACTTTGAGGATCAGCACGGTGGGGGAATTACCATCGCTATAAGAGAAAATTTAAAATACAAGAAAATTCGAAATGTTGATGACATCTCAAATAATTTATACATACGTGGAATTCTTTTATCTACAACTAAGGGAGATCTTGCCATATATTGTGTCTACAAAAAACCCAGAATCCAAATTTCTAAACGAGAATGGTCAAATTTATTTAATTTTTATCCTAATACATTTGCATCAATAATAGGAGGGGACTTTAACGCTCACTCTCCGGTTTGGGGTTGTGGTATTTCTTGCAAGAGTGGTGATTCGCTTCTAGAAGCATTGGATGACTCAAACTTAATCCTAATGAACGATGGCTCCATAACGAGAATCTCAAGACCCAATGAAAATCCTTCTGCAGTAGACATTACATTAGTGTCCTCCAATATCTCCCTTCAATGCACATGGAAAGTCCTAAAAGATGCAATGGGGAGTGATCACTACCCAATTGAATTGACCATCAATGAAACTCCGGAGAGATATCATTTTTTTTCACACAAAATCAAAAAAGATAAAATAGATTGGAATAAATTTTTTGAATATCTTGAGTCTAAAGAGGAAATCATCAAGAATTTCCCGGATGATTTAACTGGAGCCTCTCAATATGAGAATGTCATAGAAACTATTATGAAAGCTATTGATCATGCATCCTCAAATCTAAAGACTTTTCCCGCTCAAAATTCTTCCTCTCGAAATTCTAACACTTTCAAAAAAGGCACTCCCCCAGCACCCTGGTGGAATGAAATCTGCTCTAAAGCTGTTGCACTAAGAAGAAAAGTTTATTCTACCTTTCGAAAACATCCCACTTTCAATAACTATATTGTTATGAAGCGACAAGTTGCAATTACGAAGTGGACTTTACGTAAGCAAAAAATCTTAGGCTGGCAGAATTTTTGCGAATCAATTAATCATCGAACTCCAATCAGTGTTATATGGAAAAAAATTAAATGGTTTAAAAATAGAAATTCACACAACCCAAACTTGATACCTCAACAAGATATGGAATCGTCAGAAAAAATGCAAGATTTTATCACGGAATTCTGTCCTAATTTACCTCAAGACTATACACCTCCTCCACCCCCTCAAATTCCCTTTAAATCCTCTGACACGCTTGAGAATGATTTCACATTCAAGGAGTTTGAAGCAGCTTTGAAGAAAACCAAGAAGGACTCCTCTCCAGGACTTGACAAAATTGATTATAGACTAATTGAATCTCTCCCAAAATCATACAAAGAAATTATACTCAAGATTTTTAACAAACTTTTACAAGAAGGAAAATTTCCTGATGCATGGCGTGATTTTTTAGTTTTTCTCATCCCAAAACCCG